TTGATGGGTGGATAAAAATGCCAAATCCAGTCTAAACATCTGGCTGACTGTGCAACCAACAGTAATCATTTCTTTGAGATGAGGAGGATGGTGGCCTACCACCGTTGTTTCTCTGTGGCAGTACCAACGTTATGGAACTCCCTACCCCCTGAAGAGGGCCTTTGATTCATAGATATCACCTTCTACTTCTATTGCTTTGGGCTTGGTTATTTTATGATTTGATCTGTGTTTATGTGTAAAATAAAGAACAGAAAGAACCAACACCATCAGCTTCCTCCATTAGCAACCCCTGATGAAGAGGCAGCAAGAAACAGGAAGTAAGGCTTTGTTGTAAGACCTGCTAAACAACTGCTTCATGACCTGAATCTAGATTTCAAGTTCTTATTTTAAGAACTCACATCTCAGTTTAAGAACTGGAGTTTCCACAGTGGTTTTTATTCCCGATCTCTCCTTCCTTTTATAGTGCATCTTTCTCATGGGAAGCCATTGATTTGTATGCTAGACATCCCAGGAGCCATTAGGATGGATAGAGCTTTAATCACATTTGGATCATGAGTAAAAATGGCCGTTGTGGGTTACATCAAGACATGCCAAAAGAAGAGAAATAGGAGATGAAGCCCTACGATTCATCTGACACGCAACAATGTGGAAATGGTTTAACGGCAGCATTACGAATGATAGTTTCAGTGCCTTTCTTACATATTGCTAGTTTCTTGCCCAGATGTAGAATCTCTCTCTTTTTTTTTTCTTTCAAGCATTTTTACCCAGTTGTTTTCTAATGCAAAAACTTACGAAAGATTGTTGGAAGCAGATCCTGCCCCTTCTGCTTACACTTAAGATACCAAAACAGTAAATGTGTCTGTTTTCCAGATTTTTATTTGATTTGCTCTGATAGGTTTCATCAGGTTGATTTTCTGCATTTATAGAAGTCATAAGGCAGACCACATTTCCCAAGTTGCACATTATCTCCCTCAGTGTCATTTTTATGATGAGTGGACATTTGCCATTTGTAACAGTGGATTTTTTTTTAAATGTTTCAACTCATCTGAACTAAAGGAGTTTTTCCACGCCCTTTTGATATGAACCCAGAAAGGTATAACAAAGCAGGGAAGCAGGACACCGTTCCTACTCGTTCTTTATGCCAATCCACAACATGGAGTTGTGTAGAATTCATATTGGAAACAGCTTTTAAACGTTCTGCAAAAATCATCTCTCTAAAAAATTACTGGCTGCAGATTTTCAAATGAACGTGAACAAAATTTAGGCAAAAAGGAGTTACGGATTCCTTTAAAAACCTTTAAGCTCTTGCTGAAAAATACAGCCAGTTGCAAACACACAAATCAACAAAACAAATGTTGATTGTACAAGGCACTAAGGTACAAGGTTAAAATTCTGGGAACCTTTATTATTAAAAGAGGAAGTAAATTTTTGTTGAGCTTAGATTAAATACTGGTGACCCTGCTACAATAGAAGATCCCTGCCTCTAAAAGCATTCATAGAACAAGTGGGGAGAGGAACCTGTAGTCCTTTACCTGTGGCTGAACTACAGTTCCCAGCATCCACTTCTCTTGTTTGGGACTGCTGGGCGTTGCAGTTCAGATACATCTGGACA